AAAAAAAAAAAAAAAAAAGAAGAAGTAGTCCACTAAAACATAAAAGCAGCTCCATTTTCTTCAACAGTACTGGGTTGTTAGATTTCTCATATAACATAGCATCTTGTTCCCAGGGCCTAAGAATGACCACTCACACACTGTCTCAGCAATTTAGACTCCAGTTATAAGGAGAAGGTATAGAGTTTCTGTCCCAACCTCAGAACTACCTGACTATGTGACTGCTCATGACTCATTCTCACTAAGTTCTAAAATTTTTTCTCTACAAAATGAGAATAGCCTTCCTTTTACAAAATAGCTATGAAAATTACAGTTTAAATATGCCCAGCAAATGAGGGATACGTCAACATTTGTCTAATATGTTTAAGACCCTGGGTTCAATCCCTAGCACTGTTAAAAAGATCAGGGAAAGGGTACCTCCCGAAGTACATGACTCACAATCAACAATCGTAGGCAATTCCCTTTCCTTTCACTTGATATAGCTTTATGCTCCAATTCTCAATATCAGCCAGGTATAGTGACACATACCTTTGATCCCAGCACTGGGAGGCAAAGGCAGGCAGATCTCTGTGAGTTCTAGGCCAGCCAGAGCTACATAGTAAGGCCCTGTCTCGAACAAACAAATCAGTAACAGGAAGTTTAGAAATTCCAAAACTGAATCTATGTTCTAGAAATATCCTTCTAAGCCAGGTGGTGGTGGCACACACCTTTAATTCCAGCACTCAGGAGGCAGAGGCAGGCAGATCTCTGTGAGTTTGAGGCCAGCCTCATCTACAGAGTGAGTTCCAGGACAGCCAGGGCTGACACACAGAGAAACCTTGTCTCAAAAAAACAAAAAGAACAAACAAATGAAAATATTGTCGTAGAAATATTTGAGCACCAACTCCAAGACATGTTTCAAAAGTTCCCAAAAGAGAAGTCTTAAGACAAGTCTTACAGCTATAATTTTTAAGAAGGCAAGATTAGCTCAGGGCAAGGCTGAATAATGAGACATAGCCAGTAAGTACTGCCAATTGTATTCTACCCAAGATTATCAGCAATTCCAAGTGGCAAAGAGCTCTCTGAAAAGCACTGACACAACAAATCTGAAGAGACTCTCTACTCCTTCCAGTACACTTCATAATTATTAAAATTCACCTGAGGTTTCTCACCTTAGTGTTGTGACAGGTCAATATCGCTAAAGTTGTTGTTTAATGTGGTAGAGCAAATAAGAGCTTCAGAACTTATTTCTGCCCCAAGTTCCACTGTCACTTACTTGACATGACACTGAACAACACCCTGATGCTCTCAAAGCTTCATTTTTCTCAACTGTATTGTTTTTCAAAGTGGACTGTGAAATCAATTAGTGGTCTGCAATGAGCATTTTTCAATTTTAAGCAAAAGAAAGAAATACGTTGAGTGGTATTACATTATATTTCATTTACATTTTTAAAAAAGTAGATGCTGGGGTTGGAAAGATGGCTCAGTGGTTGAAAGTACTTACTGCTCTTACAGAGGGCCTGAGTTTGATTCCTAGCACCCTCAAAATCAACTATAATTCCTTTGGCCTCCATTGGCACCTGCACTGATGTGTACACACTCGAACATGCACACAAACACAAACGTATACATAGTTTTGAAGTAATTAAAAATTCTTTTAAGCTAGGTGGTGACAGCACACACTTTTTGTTTGTTTGTTTTTGGTTTTTTTTTTGTTGTTGTTGCTGTTGTTGTTTTTCTGAGACAGGGTTTCTCTGTGTAGCTTTGCGCCTTTCCTGGAACTCACTTGGTAGCCCAGGCTGGCCTCAAACTCACAGAGATCCGCCTGGCTCTGCCTCCCGAGTGCTGGGATTAAAGGCGTGCGCCGCCACCGCCAGCTGACGGCACACACTTTTAATCCCAGCAGTCAGGAGGCTGAGGCAGGCAGATATGTGAGGACAGCCTGGTCTACAGAGCGAATTCCAGGACAGCCAGGGCTGTCCTATCTCAGAAAAACCCTGTCTCAAAAACACAAAACAAACAAACAAACAAAAAGTGAGGAAATTCTTCATAAATCAATTTTAACTTCCTTCAAAGTAGTTTGTATTTAACCACATTATATACATGGATGTTATTTGTCACAGGCATGTCCTTCTTATTGACATATAATGATTGGGTCTAATTAAAATCTAAAGTGTATTATAAACTAACAGATAACCAGTCTGCCAAACTGCCCAGACAATAGTGATATGTGGAAATGGCAGAAGCTGATTTGGACAAGTCCTTTCTTATGTGGAAAGAGTTATGAAGATATTATGCTTAACCTCAGCACTGTTTCGAAAGATACTCATGTGTAGCAGGAATCTTAAAAGTTCTTAATAAAATCAAACCTGAGCCAGGTATTGGGTTGAACACTGGAAGATCAGAGAGACAGCTACAGCTAACCTCACCTGGCCAACTTCTCAGCTGGTCTTGTTTCCTCCGACTGGAAGCTTCTGTGTCCTCATCCCAATGGCTCTCAGCTGAACTGCTGCTTGAAAGCCTGAACACTTAACCAGCCAAATGCTTCTAGTTCCTGGTCTTCACGCCTTATATATCTTGCCTTTCTGCCATCACTCCCTGGGATTAAAGGCTCACTTCTTGGGATTAAAGGCGTGTGTCACCATGACTGGCTGTTTCCAATGTGGCTTTGAACTCACAGAGATCCAGAGGGATTTCTGTCTCTGGAATGCTAGGATTAAAGGTGTGAGTGCCACCATTTTCTAACCTCTGTATCTAGTGGCTTTTCTGTTCTCTGACCCCAGATAAATTTATTAGGGTGCACAATATTTTGAGGAACACAATACCACCACACTCATGAGCTGGCTCCTAGAGTGAAAACTCAGGCAAGAAGGTTCAGAGCTTAGAAAGGACCCAGGTAAAGGGGGTGTTAAAAGGGTCTAAAATTAGTACCAAACAAGACAAGAACTGCACAAAGGGTTTTTCACGACTTGAACATGTTATCCTTCCTTTTAAATGTGCTATTTGGGGGAAAAATAATTTAATTATTATTGCTGACAAAATCCTATATAAGGACCCTTGTGCCACCTCTCCAATATTACCTTCTCCCTGCTCATTTTAACATTAGTCACCTTACCCTGCCCTGCTTGCTCCTTAGACATAACAAGTATCTCTTGGTCCCCTTGCCCAGATCATGTTTATACCAGCTCTGCATATGGTATGGTCCATTCATCATTTTGCTAATCATTTGCACATCTCATTTCCTTTAAGAAGCATTCCCCAGCACTTCCAAATTAAAAGATCAACTCAGTCATACATTCCATTCTCAGTCATCATTACATTACATTGTTCTATTTTACTTCCTTACCACACGATTTCTTGTTTTATTTCATAGTACTTTGGTGACTTATTTTTCTGTCTTCCTAGTTAAGTATCAGCCCTCCAAGGGCCTTTACTGTTTTGTTTTTAACAACCAGAACACTGCCAGTTGATTATACAAACATACTTTTCCCCCCTAGGTAAATTTGGGCGCACACACACACACATACACACATTAAATGAACATAATAGAAAAAGTATTTATATAGGTAATACTGATTTATTACCTAATACTGATTAGATTGTATTCAATTCTTGAAAATATAAGTCCCGTAGGAAAATGACGCGATCATGTAGAGTACATTTCTCATCTCAGAACTAAGGTCTTATAATGTAATTTTAAAAAAAATGTGTATAGGTGTTTTGCCTGCAACTATGTACGTGGACCATTGTGTGTCTAGTGCCTGAGGAGGCCAGAAGAGGACATTAGATCTCCTGGAGTTACAGATGGTTATAAACTACCATGTGGGTGCTGGGAATTGAACCTAGGTCCTTTGCAAGAGTAACCAGTATTCTTAACCTCTGAGGCACCTATCTCTCGGCCCCTCATAATGCAATTTTATTGCTTCATTTATTAAAAAAAAAAAAAGTCAATTTCATTAAACAAAGCAACTGCCTTTTATTAAACAACAATATTCCAACTGACAGTCCTTTATGACAACCTGGTTTCCCAATGGCTCAGAAAGACAGGTGATAAACACCAAGGACTGTATAGTTCAGACAGCCTAAAGAGAGCAGCCTAGAGTTGTATTGCATGACTAAGGGCTATGCCACAGCTCCATGGAGTCTACACTTTCATACCACCAACCTCTAAAATCGCCTACATGACTAAAGAGTGACAGTCTCAAAAATGAACAGTAAGAGATAAAGCTTCTCCCTTGTGTGCTCACTCTAAAATCTAAAAATTCACTTCTCTGCTGTTCATTCAATTTTCATTAAGTACAATTTACATCTACAAAGCATCCCTCCCTCCCTCCCTGGATAGGATGTTACTATGTAGCTGAATTTGGCGTGGAACTCACAATCCTTCCTACCTCTACCTTCCAAAGCTAGACTTACTACAGGCACACACACCACACCACTCTCAGGCTTCAAACACCACTTTTATAATTACCTTATCAAACTTTAAAATCAGGACCATGGAGTGGTCTGGATAATCAGCTGATTAGAATCACAATAAATTCTCATATCAAATAATTAGTTTAGTTACAGCACAATTCATCAACAACAGGATGGCCCAGGACTCTGGCAGTCATCTGTATTATTGTATTTTAGAAAGAATAGTTCCCCAAACACATGCATATAGGTGTAAGCAACCACTGTGTGGGCCATGCCATCAAACAAAAGCAACACCTACAAAGTCTCTCTCAGTGACTAGAAGCAGCCAGACACTCAAACTGCCAGTACTGAATTATGGCCTCTGAATGGTGAGGGCTTCACATTTCACCGATCAGGGCACAGCCCAATCAGAAGGCAAACCCCTGCCCTGCCGGGGACCAGCAAATCCGCTTTCTTCCAGTGTGCACATGACTGAATGTGCTTCTGTCCATCATCTGGGTCATATATAGTTCAATGCGAGCTTAGCAGACAGGGCTGCAAGGAAATCTGGCGCGGTTCAATACCTTGTCTAGCCTGGGCTCCAGTATCTTTTTTTTTTTTTTTTTTTTTTAAACTGACAAACTCATTTTTCTACCGGGACAGGATGCTGTGCTGGCTGAAGTTCCATTTCTACAGCAAGAATCCTATCTGGAAGCATAGAAGTTGTCCTCTAGCCACAGCAGCGACAACTTTTTTGATTGTTGTTGCTGCTTTCTCCCATCACCCCCATCCCCTTTTGACAAAGATCCAACTGTAAAAAGTCTTACGTAACAGTTCAGGACTACTTCGGTTCTTTTACCGGGTAAGCACTTTCAATTTTTTTTTTCCAGCTAAAAACAATTCTAAAATTGCATCTGTTGAGAGGCTTGACTAAAACCTTTTAAGTAATTTGTGTGGTGAAATACTGTCACTGGATTTTTTAGTCTCACTTCTGCACGTGCTCCTTTGTTCTCAGAACAGAAGCTTTTATACACTCCCCATAACGCAGCTGCAGAGTTATTAAGTCAGTTATTATAAGGAACACAAAGGTTGCTTTGCATTCTTTGCCTTTAGATAATTAATTTTGGATTTGTTTTTCTTAAAACAATATTTAAATAAGGAAGAAATTAACAAAAGAATAAACTGTTGGAGAATCTAGCAAAGTTTTAAGTTTTTACCTTTTCTATCTGTAGTTTTGTATGGACAAACACTTGTGCCGCCTGGGGCGTTGGGGGTAGAGGCAGGCAAAGACAGAGAGGAACTAAGCCAGACATGGACAAAGGCATGAGCCAAAACCAGACAGCCCTGGCCGTTCGATAGGCCAGCAGTGGGTGAGACAGGTCAGCCAGCTGCAGAGGTGGGAGGGAGAAAGGGGGCATGGATGTGCGAGGTGCTCATGCGTGCGATCGTGACTAGATTTTGAAACTGCCAGCCATTTTCCAAGCTATGCTTTGTATAATCTAAAGGAATGTGTCTTCTCTAAGCAGTCTTTCCAGAGCCACCAAAAGAGAGGCGTAAAAAAGACACCATTAGCACATAGAATTAGAAATACTGGGAACTTGAGTGGGCAAGAGGGAATGCAGAGAGTGTGTGGAAATTTTTTAGTGATCTGGAATGTGTTGAGTGACAGGAAGTGCCCCAAGATCCCCCCCTCAAAAACCCCAACTCTTCTCAGTCCCGCCTGCTTTTGTCTAACTCTGTAATCTACACGCTACTGCTTACAAAGCTGTCTGAGTTTGAGACAAAAAGAACATAAAAAGCTCTCCGTTTCAAAGCACCTTTAATATAGGAAAAATGTAAAAGCATGGTCCTTCAATCCTATCAAGATTTTCTTTCAAGTATACAGAAGATATTTAAAATAACTGTTCATAGATAAATGAGAATCATGAATTATAGTATCATTTTAAACTTATAACAACAACAAAAAAAACCAATTCTGATATAATTGGGTGGGTTCCTAATTTGAAGGCCACTTGTTTTCTTTGGTTTGTATATTACATGTGAAGTTGGATTTTCTTTGTATAGATGTGGACTGGGGGGGGGGGGGGGGCAGGAATCAAAGCTTACAGAGGAGTGTACTTAAAAAAAGGAGGTGGGGATGATTTCCCAGCAAGGGTTGGGTAAGCACATTAAAGGACTAGTTTCTTGGGAAAGCAGCTATCTCTCATGTTTGTTTATGTGCAATCGAGTAACTTTATACTATGATAAATGTGAAGTAGGAAACTTTTCAGAGAAAAAGAACATTATTCTAAGTGAAAAAACCAACTTGGCATTTCCCCCAAACTTCAGAAACACTGAAAAACAGCTAAATAATTAAACACTTAACCCTACCTATGAAATGGAAAATTAAGCATGCATAAGATGATTATTTCTAATGTTTCTAGCTCCTACCACAAAGGATGTTAGTGGTCAGTCTAGGAGTTAATCTTTCCTAGCATGGCTCAGAGCCTTCATGCCGAGCAGACGTTATTCACATGACGATTCGAAAAGTCCATTCATATATCTCACTACCTGGATCTGAATAGAAACCAGGCAGCAATTCTTTAGTTCCAGCCACATTTGCCCCACTGGACAATAGCGATTTGTTAAAACAGAGTGCAGGCTGTAGGACACAAAGCTCAGAGCTGCAGAAAGATGCAGGATTCAGAGAACAGGAAGTTACAGGCTCCATGCACTCCTAGCAGTCCTAAGATTAAAAAACAAAACAAAACAAAAACAAAAACAAAGAAAAAAAAGGGGGCAACACAGAGATGCCATGTTTAAGAGCTACTTCTAGCATTTTAACCACCAATGTCATAAAAGCTGTATTGTTAAAGTTCATGAAGTCACAAGAAGTCCCGTGTGCTCTTTTTTCACTACAAGAAATTCCATTCAGACTGAGCACAGTCAGCAGTATTTAAACTGCCCACGGTTGACGGGCTACATGGTCTGCTCTGGTAGAAAGCAGAGGAACATTTTATAAATTAACCCTACTAGCACAATAATAAACTTTTAAAATTTATTTTATAAAACCATTCAAAACTTAATTAAGTGTGCCAAAACTGTATAGAAACTAATTTTTATCCAAGATATCATATAATATTATTGAATTTCAACCAAAGTTTTTTAGAACAGTTTAAAACTAGTCTTACATAGAAAACTTTTGAGTTTTAAATTCTATTTGCCAAAACAAAAATGTAATATCAAGTACCAAGCACTTAATTTTGGGAAAAAAAAGAAAAATCACGTTTTCTTTTGTTGATTATCAATTGTCTACTTATCTTGAAATTGTTAAAAAATATTAATGGGATGCCAGGTGGTGGTGGTGCATGCCTTTAATACTACAAGTTGGGAGGCAGAAGCAGGAGAATCTCTGAGTTTGAGGCCAGCCTTGTCTACAGAATGAGTTCCAGGACAGCCAGAGCTATATGGAGAAGCACTGCCTCAAAAAAAGAAAAAGAGGCCGGGCGGTGGTGGCTCACGCCTTTAATCCCAGCACTCGGGAGGCAGAGGCAGGTGGATCTCTGTGAGTTCGAGGCTAGCCTGGTCTCCAAAGCGAGTACCAGGAAAGGCGCAAAGCTACACAGAGAAACCCTGTCTTGAAAAAACCAAAAAAGAAAAAAAAAGTATCAATGGGAATTATAAAAGGGAGAGGGCAGATAATTATTCAATCTCAATTAATAAGCAAAGGGTGCAACCTGAGCATCAACAGGCCAGACTGGTGTCCATTCCATCCATATGAACCGAAGACCCTTGCAAAAAGAAGCCATACTTAGCCTGTGATCTATGATGAAAACTAAGCCATAAACAATATCATTCCTAAGATCACAAATGATCAATAAGTTCTTTGGAAACATGAACTGTTCCGCTCAGTTAAGTCCCAAGATAATACAGTTTTGAGTTAGACACATACTAGGTTTCATACTGCTGCCAATAACTGAACTTCCTAGATTTCTATCACTGTTAGTCAAATCCCAAATGTCAGTTACTATCTCTATCTGTGCACTAATACAGCAGCCATTAGTCACACATGGCTATTTTGATTTACATAAAGGAAAAATTCAATTCCTCATCCCTACTAGTCTTACTTTAACCCCTCAATAGGCTCATGTACAGGTTATTATGCTGGGTGGTCCAGATAGAAGGTTACTTCCAAAGTCATTGGACAAAACTGATCTAAGACATGCTCATACCATACACATTGTCTTCAACTACACATATAGTTGGACACATGTACAAAATCTATAGGTAAAAATACAATGACAAAATAGTTAGTGATATGATATTTGACAGATACCTAAAAAAAATTTGAAATCAATGGTGAGATTCAGATCCAGGAGGTTCAGATCCATTTTCTTTACTTGGTTTACAATAAAATGTACAATTAAGTAAAATATAAAGAGAATAGTGGCAGAAGGGTAGAAGTGCTCAAATTAAAATGAGCCACAAAAGTTCTTTCCAAATATATGAGATAAATAATTCTATAGTTTCTCTTATATTACCATTGTTACGCATTAAATGCAGAGTAACAAAGTGGCTGTCGGGTCAGTCAAACCTGAGTGACTTTCATAGCTAGATGCTACAAGGCAAATTAATTCACCTCTCTCAAGCTTACCTACAAAACAAGGAAATAAGAAAGAATTCACAATAAAGCATCTAACAAGATGCCATGCACAAAAGGGCAGTGATTATTTATTATGTTTTCCCTTTAAATCTTTACAATGTAACTCCTTCTGAGCAGATACTATTCAGAACACAAGGTGAGCCTTTAAAATCAATTATCCTCCTATCAACTAAGTAAAATGGAAATATGTGAATGCTGGACAACTTTTCCAATCCACAGAGTGCTGTGATTCTTGAGCTTCATAACAGATGTGCAGGGTGACATTAATATTCTTGTTTTAGCTGGGTGATGGCAGTGCACGCCTGGAGGCAGAGGCAGGCGATCTCTGAGACCAGGCTGATCTACAGAGTGAGTTCCAGGACAGCCAGGGCTACGCAAAGAAACCCTGTTTTGAGAAAACAAAAATAAATAAATAAATAAATGAATAAAATATATTCTTGTTTTATGGATGCAGATTGTGTGGCAGAGGAGGAAGTGACTTAATCCTAGACAAGCCAGGAAAATCTCAGGTCATATTTGACTCAAATACCCAGCATGGTCTCTATGTGCTCAGAGCTTTGAATTTATGGATTTTACGTATTAAACAAAGGCCAGAGTTCTGTAGAGCAGGCTCAATCATAAAAGCATGAGGACTTGAGTTCAATATCCAGCACCTACAAAATACCAGTGATGGGAAAGCAGTGACAGGAAAACCCCTTGGGCTTGTTGGCCAACCCAGCCTAGGAGAATGAGTCCCAGGTTCATGGTAAGTTCCAGATCTTACCATAAAAATGAAGTGAAAAGTGAATGAGGAAGGTACCGTTTGTCAACCTCTGACCTCTGCACACATGTACATGTGCACCCACTTATATACTCTGTAGCCAAAAAGACTCTAATTTGTCAAGGAATGTCAACAGTATCCAATAGGAACCTGATACCTGTTCAATAATAAAGTAAAAGCTATTGTATTACATTTACTTATTATTTTGAGGGAGCATGAGCATATATATAGACGCCAGAGGGTAATTTGTAGGAGTAAGTTCTCTCATCCACCATGAAGGTTTGGGGACTGAACTCAGGCGGTCAGACTTGGTAGCAAATATCCTTACCCAATGAGCCATCTCACCCTACTTGAAAAAGCTATCTTAGAAATACAATTAGAAAATTGTGTCTCTTGTGACTTAACTAAAGCACATAAAGAAACCTTAGGTAGAAAACCTTAAGAAATATTGAACTGGAGC